TATTTGGACATTAATTTTTGACACCTTAGCAAGAGAATAGGCGAGAGCTGAACCGCCTACACCAGCTCCAACGATGATGACATCAGTACCACCGTCTCTTCTCTCCTCGGCCACCATATCCACCAACTTCGCCGCCTTCTTCCCCTTCGTCCTCCTGCTGGTGACGTAGAACACCGTCCACGTCAGCACGAAGGCGAGTAGCGTCCATAAAGAAACGTGCGTAAAAGCCACATCCATATCTATTATTAGTTTCTCTACTATGAGTATTATAAAACAAATATACTTTATGGTTTATGAGAGAGTTGAGAAAGGAGGAGTAACATATATATACTGCAAAGAAAGGTCAGTTTGGACGTGGCATCACCACATGCTAAATTATGATTTTTTTTCTGTGAAGAGCAATAAATTGATCTTTTCTTTCGTCCACACAATTCGTTATCTTTTCCTCAACTGCTTGCGTTGTCGTAAACAATCGATATTTTTATTTCGAATACGAACAGAAAATATTGCCCACGAATAAATGTTGTTGTTTTTATATAGAAGAATTGAATAAAAGGTACCATGCACACAATTATTGACATTTTCTAAAGCTCTTAAATTCATGCATTAAAGTCAAGAAGGTTGGTTACATGTCATTCAATATTTTGATAATTAGAAACAACATACTAAAATGGTATTTTAGGCAACTATTTAGATTTTTTTCATATTATTTATCGCATAATATATTCCACCTGCTGTTTATATGCGGACACAAAGCGTTCTAAGCGTTTGCCTAGGCGGTATTTAGGCGCTAGGCCCTTATACACTATAGAGATTATCGTCTAAAATATTAAGATGTTATAATAATAAAATAATATAAATTTTTTTATATATAAATCATTATATTCTATATATTTTGCTATAAAATGATTAATATAAATACAATATAAATTTATTATTTATAAATTATGAGGGTTTATATATTTTACTATATATACAATATATTATGTATTTAAAAAAAAACGCCTAGACCGCTTATTAAATCGTCTAGATCCCGATTAAGCGTTCTAGACACTAGACATTAGGTCTCCGTCCGCTTAGTGCCTAGCGCTTTCTTGACCATTTATATCATCACCATCACTTTTGTTTTTGTTTATGACCCGATGGAAATTAAATGAATCACCATTTGGTGATAAAAATAACCTTAACCATCTTCGACTTCTCTTTCTAGCTCTTCCATAGAGAACCGCGCAAGCAAAGCAAACCCTTGCTTGCGGCCCCAGTATTTTATCAATTATTTTTGGCCCTTAAATACAGAAAGTTGTCTTTGGTTTAGTGATTAAAAAACAAAAAAATTTGTAGAAGGTTTGGGTTCGAATTCTAGAGGAAGAATTTATCATTTTTTTACCGGCCCATTTTTAGTTTTGGGCTTGTGACCCTTTATCTTCAGGGCGTCATTTACCTTCAGGGCCGGCCCTGCTTCCATATACAAGAAAAAATATTTGTACCAACTCTAATCTTTCTTTTTCCTATTTTTATTTAAAGAAATGGTTTTAATCTCTCTATCTTACATGAATGGAGTTTCAAAATAATTGATAAATAAATTTATGATAAGTGGAAATACGTTTTCTAAAATTTATTTTGAACATAGAATAACATTGAAATATATACAGAATCTTAAGTCTGGCTTTAAGTTCAGCATCCAAACGAACATATGCCAATAACTATGTTTATTTAAATTTAAGAACATATTTGTCTTTATGCTGTAAATGCAGTAACATTTATGAAGCATTTGCGGCCATAAAGTTTTTGCGATACGCAGCTGCGTTAGCTTGAGATAGCATTTGCCACACCCCTTCAGCCTTGAGATGGGGACCCAACATTTTCAAAGCCAACTAGTGATT